GGATTCTCTTTTAAATTTATAAAAACTCATCAAAATTTCCTTAATTGTAGGTATACTCTTCTTTCTGCACATCGCACTTGAAGTGAGAGATATAAGTACATATTTCAAATCATTAGAATCTTCATGCCAAGAGTTTTGAATTTTAAAAGCCCCTGATCAATTTAGTTGATGCCTGTGCTGGTATGTAAAGTGGCCAGTTACAATCTTCATTGGAGAAAGAGAAGAAAGAAAAGAAATCGAATTATAGGTCCCTTGTAAATACTTTGTTTCTATCAATGTGGAACAAGTTAAACTAGAATCGATTCTCCTCCACATAAAACAAAACAAAACAAAGCAAGACCAAAAAAATGAAGATGATGCATCGAACATAAATCTTCGAAAAAGACGTAAAAGAGTTAGAAATGCAATAGCAATAATGGCTTTAATGTTATTTTCTTTCATCAGCTGCCAAAAAGAAATGACAATTCAGACAAAATAAATAATAAATTTGTGTGGGCCAGTGGACCAACAATTATGTACATTAAAAAATAACTATACCTAACATAAGATCCTTTTCAGTTTCTTATCAAGATAAATTACCAACTTATTTTTTAGGTTACTACTATATATGCATAAACAGCGTAAGTAAGCACCGCCCTTTTTCACTTGTAAGAGAATTCCGGATATAATGTAAAAAATTGGTTTTCTTGTTTTTTGAGATGATTTTTAACACCCAAATTCGTCTTCTTGTAATTTGAGAAGATTCTTAACACCTCTTAGAACTAAAAATGGAAGGAAATCTAAGCTGTGAAAACCATCCCCCCATTATGAAGATTAATTTAGCTAGGAACATTTCAAAAAATGTCACGATTTTCATCAAGTTGAGTAAAGACAAATTTAGATAGGCAGACGATAAATTGTACTCTCTTTTCAAAAATACAACAAAAAACCAAAAAGAGAATCGATGATTTAAACATAAAATTGAATTTCTGCCAAAAAGAATAATAATAACAAAAGCAGTTAATTTCAGTCATAAACAATTCAATAAATTTGTGTTTGGGGGCGCTAATCACCTGGTGACGGTAATTCCAATAGCCGGTGGAACCAGCAAGGAGGACGGCCCATTTGATCCCCACGGTATCCTCATTGGCATCACCGCCACTGTCCTCAAAGCGGCCAAAGAATTGGCGAGCTTCCGAAGGCAGCTTGATCAAATTCCGGCCGTCGGCGACAGACAGGATCGAGAGCGCTAGGAGGAAAGATGCACCGGCGGCAAACCGAAAAATCATCGTCACCGGTGAGAAGGATATTTTAATTTTTGGATAAAATTGAGTCTGACCTGTGATTACATGAGTTAATTTTATAAAGGTTGAACCCCCATCTCGAGCCCCGCCCCGCCTCTATAGCTTTGTGAATGAGGTAAATCGCGGAATGTGTTTCAACGGGTCAGGAAACAAAGGTTGTCTGTACATTGCGACTATAAAGAGTCCAATTTCATATTTCAGAAATTGAACCTCCATACTGCGATTGTCAACAAGGTGTAAAATAACATCACTCCTGTCTTTTGCACCACTGGACTATGTCCCGAGAAGCATATATGAGTTAATTTTATGAAAGGAAATTCGGTATTGGTTGCTACTTGATCATTGAAGGCTAATATTTGCTTACTGAACTTTATTATAGGTTAGTATTTGCTTATAAAAATTTAAAAAGTCACACATTACTCATCTAAATTTAAATAAATGTACCTATTAATCATCTATATCATTTCCATCAATATTATTTATAGCAAAATTCAATCATCAACGACTAACTTTGTTCAATTTTAGGTAAGCAACGAGTAAATTTTTAAATTTCAACGAGCAAATAGTAACATGTAGCAAAATTGAGTAAGCAATGAGTAATCTTTTAAAAATCGATGAGCAAATAGTAACCATAGAAAAGTTCGATGGCCTTTGATTAAATTAACTCGTGATTATATATAGTGTAGGGTAAAGTCCTTGGCGTGAAAGATCATCTGCAACGCAGACATGGGTAATATATTTAAAATTGGTGTACCTAAGGAGTTTGAAATTTGAAGGCTTAAGTTATGGGGTCAATATGTACAACTATATAGACTAAATTAATCTGTATGGGTAAGCTCAATGATAACATTTGGTGACCGAGTTTCAAAAAAGCTTAGCTGGTAGTCAAAAAAGAAGGAGCTGAGTTGGGGAAAGAAATGAGGGAAAATTATACTACAACCCGATTCACTTAGCCTAGCCTTTATTTGAAGCTCCCAAATTGAAAATGAGGGAAAATTACACTACAATGTTGACTTTCTCTTGCCTCACATTATCATCTCATTTGACCACAAAAATATTCTTGCAACCTCTGACCGTGCACATCTTCCAAATCCACAAAAAACACGGTGAGTGGGCCCACCACAATATGCCAAACGAAGGAATGTAATGTCCACTACACAAATTGAAAGGAAAATTGCTAGAAATAAGCAGTGTTACGTGAAATAATGTCAATGTGAAAAAGCTCATATTTTCCCATTTTTCATTCATAACAGCATTACAATGAACGAAGATAGAAATAAGTGAAAAATAAATTTACCGAATTATTATATGTTGACGGTGTTGCTACTGGAACACTCTTTTACTAACTTTGAGCAAAATAATCATGAAAACGATCCCACTCATTTTGTTGCATTTCGGGTGCATTCACTTCAGTAGTGGCTTGTTCTTGTTCATTCAAAAATTCTACCTCCGTCGCATCCGAATTCGTCTCCACTCTTGTGAATGCTTCGTCGAGAACTCCTGCCCATTGAAGGAAGTTGTGTATACCCATAGTAGCTACGACAACAGCAGTCTGCACTTTGAAATTGTAACTTGGCATACGATCTAGTATTTTCCATCGACTTTTTCACAAACCAAATGCATGCTTGATAACGTTTCTGCAGGACGAATGCCTGAAGTTAAAGAGCTCATGGGCGTTGCAAAATTTTCGTTTGCGACAAGTCTAACCATCGTAGAACTGCTAAAAATGGTACAATATGTCTGAACCTTTATACGGAGCCATGTACCCAGGGTTATGAGCAAATCCAAAGTCGACAAGGTAATATTTTCCCATGGATGGCTGTGGAAGATCAATATCAGGACTATGTATAGCCCGTGCCAATATGAATGAATCATGCGTGATCACTGCCCACCTTGCATGCACAAATGTGAAACATAAATTGAAATCACATGCTACTAGAATATTCTGTGTAGGAATGCCCTTGCATTCGATGAAATTTACTCGTTCATCCTGTGGCAAGACAGCTTTGAGGTACGTTCCATCGATCGCACCTATACAATTCTTGAATAACGGATGCTAGTTCATATTTGGTACATGATGCTCCGCACCGTGATTATAGTTCGGATCAAGTCTTATGAGACGTTTGGCGAATTCACAGGTGGCTCCAAGCACAATCTTGAAGTAGTGTCTTTTCTGCTTTTTTATTAAGTTTATCAATTTTTCTTAATAAATGATTGACTATAAAAGGAAAAATATGGGTCCGTATATTTCCAGACAAATCGGTTACAGTTAAACCCGCTGCTTCTAGGGATTCGGCTTAGTCACCATCTCTGGCCATGAATCAAAGATTCATCCTGGCGGAGGAAAAGAGGGCATGGATTCTCTACAATAACACTGTAGACCAGGATGTAGCCAATAGTTTTCAAGGAATGATTGAATAGTGTTCGAACCAATCTGTAGCCTTTTCTGTGCGCTAATATGCACAAGAACATCCAACTTGTTCATATACATCTACTTGCTGGCCGCTACACAGTCTGTATTCGTCATGAAGTATATGTGTGAACTTACGTAGCATGGCAGGATACATCCCGAATTCTACATAACATTCTTTAGGACTACAATTCATGGCGTCCAATGTGAACATGTGTCCGTTCCTCGTGAATGAGAATATTCTAATTTGATGTCTTTGTACACAATAGTAGTTTTCGGTATCTACTTCTGACATTCGACAGTATTGAAACACTCTACAATGTCTTCCTGGAGCTGTTTTACAAATTCCTCTTCCCCAATTCGGCTTCATCTTCGGAGTACAACAAAAGCACACAGTTGAAATCTAAATGTATCATTCCACTTGTTGACTACAACGATTGCCTTAAGTATTTTGAAATAGAGGCTAAAGATAACTTGGGGACCAATTGCTTTCTCTGAAAGTTCAAATTTTAGAATGAAAGGGATTGGGTGCTGAACACAAATTTATAGAGGTTGTTGAATGGAATACTGTCAACAGTAAAAAGTATGGCCTTGTTGCAGGACATGAACAACATGCCAATAAAAAAAGATCTTGTAATCAATCGAGGTCAGTATAATGGTTGAAAAAATAAGGATTTATGAAAAAGTTTAAAGTCCAATTACCATAACAACTGGCATGTAATGACAACAGTGACATAAAATGGATGACATGAAATGTAAAGTACAAGTATGGATGAATCATATTAGTAGTTCTAGTACAGTCCAACAGTTTCCACATACACATGCCCCGTAAGAAAATGAAATACATCTTAAATACCATTGTAAGTGTTCACATAAACAGGTCACAATGGGAAAATTTAGAAATGTCACACATTTTACTAGGGTTAGGCCTTCCTGTAGTTCTACTAGCTCCACTCGACCCAGAAAAATTTCTCATTTGCATCTTCTTATATGCCAAGTGTCTCCCTGTCACGCCTCAGGGATAGGAAAGTTAGCATCCTCAAGTACAGATATATATTTTTTGGACAGTCTGCTAGTCGACAACAATTCCTTCATGAGCGTATTCGCATCTGGGACATTGAGGCCAATCAGACTGTTGATTTTAGCAGCAACAGGTTGACTGGCAGAGGTTGCGCGGTCAACAAAGAACAATAAATCCATGGTGGATATTTTTGCTCGTTTATCCTTTTTGTTCTTGCGACCAGAACTTCGTTTGTACCCACTTCGCGGCCTTGAAACGTCCTTGCTGGATGTAACCTTATCAATTTCTAGCATTCATCGCTTGATCCGCTGCTCTCATCGTCGACCGGATGAATGTCGTGCAGGTTTTCATGCCCACTATCTTCCAACATGGCGAAGGCTGTCCTGCACAGCTTCAAGGGTGTGACTGCATACTTATCACTATCATAGGCGTCCTCGAAAAGTACCTTGTAGTTGTACACCTCTCTGTAGTCTTTGTCTCTCAATTCTTTGTAATCTTTGTTTTCCTATCACACATGCAAAACAAAAAATTGAATGTCAGGCCATTATTCACACAAACACAAATTCTGGAGAGACTAGAGCATTTTTATAATCAAATTGGTTCATGACACAATTATATACTCCAATGGAAAAAAAAACTAGTTACATGATTAATCAATTCAGTAAGTAACAGGAAAACTCATTTTTTTTTTGTCAAAATGCCTGTGGCGGATAATCAAGCTGAGTTACCAATTCATATGCCACCTAAAAGTTGCCCATGAATCTATCGTCTCATAAACATTCATATGCCACCCACTAGTTCCTTTACCCATTCATAGCACCGTGCCCCTTCACTCTTCTCCATGGCCCCCCTCCCCACAATAAAAATCGATAAAGTTTAAATCGTCCAAGTGACATAATCCATTACCAATATACGTGGCTATGTAATGAGAGATAAACTATAAATACACATATACATGCACATTATACGTGGTTGTGCTAGTGAATAATGAAAAAACATCCCACTCACCAGCTACTAGTACAAGAAAAATTTGTAGCAATGCAACTTGTTTACAAACTGAATTGGTGATAAAATAGCTCAAATTCAAGGTCTTGTAGTTTTTCAGTTCGAACACGTTTTGCCAAACATAAAACAAAATTCTAGCAGGTTGTTCTTATGTCTTGATAATGGATAAAAGGAATTTGTTGCTTCTCGAATAACCATATTTAATTGCAAACGATGACTATATAAAGTTGTGTACCTTAATCTTACGCACTCACCACTTGTCGAAGGCAGCAATTGTTCATGTTGAGGAGATAAACTCAACTCCAGTGGAGTTCACCGGCTTCTGCAGCCGTTTATACTTCTGTCGAGGATCATCCCAATGATTCTTAAGCTGCTGCTTCATCCAACAGTAACTGGAGTTGGAGTTGAACAAATGGATGAGTTGGTCACACTCGTGTTTTGTGAAGCACTTTCCATTACTATGATCGTTGGCTATTACCGTCTTGCATGCGGCAATAAAAATTCGGTTCTCTTGTGGATTCCATATCGCGTTCATTCACACCGGTGCTTGGACTTTGCTTGTCGAGGTGGACGAATGAATGTTGACACCCATCTACAAAGAAAAATGTCTTTTGAAATCAGATTGTTAAATTGGAGATAGAAAAAAATATGCTCTGTCGCTGCAAATTGAATAATGGAATCGGCATTACTTACTGTGGGGACATATGGATCTATGTTGGGAGTGAGATGTAGATCCGACAAACAAGTCTCTGGATGTCACCTCAGAATGCTTTTCATCATCGATGTTCCTTATTACTCCTAGACGAAAATGGGTCTTCGACGATGTAGTGCTGGAAATGCAACTTGTTCGTCTAAATGTCTGGCGACCGATTCTGTAAAGAGAACAAAACGACCAGTTGTGGGGAGAAAAGAAGCAAGGCATTTAATTTTCTATGAAAGGAAAAGCTTAGTGGTTGAGCCGTGTAATGAAAAGGGTAAAGTTGGGAGAAGATGTGTAAAAGCATGGTTTTGGACTACACATTTGGAGCCCATTAAACGTAGCGAAGAAGAGTGAAATCTGAAAAACCTGTCCCATTCGAAGAAGAGTAAAGCTCCAACCCAACCCATAAACACAAAGGTATATGATACAGTTGATGAGTTTATTAATTAAAGTTTAATAATCTCCAAAATTTAACATTTTGTAGTGTTTCGCATATTCGTGATGTGATATTGGTGTATATTATTTGTTGTCGATTTAGTTCTAGCTCACTTTTAGAGGATTAGTTTGAAATATAAGCTCTAGGAGTATTAGTTTAACTGAAAATGGTAGAATTCAAATTCATTTATGTGATACTTCTCATCATATTTGCAACTGGTAGACTTCATTATATTCAAAATTAGAATTAATTCATTTACAGAGTACCTTTAGCTAAATATCATATTTACATACTTATAGATAGATAATATTACTGAATTCCCAATTATTGTTAGAGAATTATAAAATTTGAAATCATACTACTGTTTTTATGTTGTGCTGAACTTGACCAACGTGTTTATTGTAGTAGAAAAAATTATGGATGATGTACAAAACGATTATAATGATATTTTGGTAAAATCTCATAATGAGAATGTTATGTAAACCATGAACATAGTGGGAGGCGAAACGTTAGCGGGAGATGGTATAATTGTCTCTGAAGTGGGTGTGGTGTTCAAAGATGAGAAAGAGATGTTCTAGTTCTACAAAAAAATATGTTTAAGATGTAGGGTCTTCAATTAAGAAAATAAATTGAGAAAAGGAAGATGATGAATTTTTGAGATAGGTCACATTGATACGTAGCTGTGAAGGTTGAAAAAGTGTTAGTACTACCTATTCATTGAAGCCTCAACTAACAATTTGGATGGGTTGTAAAGTCAGGATCTCTGCATGTTCAGATATCCATGGAACTTGGAGAATTATCATTGTTCACCTTGACTATAATCATGAAACAAGATCACCAAACTCAAGTTAATATTGATGTACTCGAGAATTGAATGTACCTATCAGAAGGAAGCTAGAAGTGAGTGATTGGCCAAGGATTTCGTTACACAAAAGTTACAACTCTGTAGTTGTAGAAGTAGATAGATATGAGAACATAATTTGCATTGAGAAGGATTGTATAAAATAAGTGAGGGGACTAAGACTTGGAGAAGGAGATGACGTGTAATACAGTTATACTTTTAAAAAATGCAAGCTCAATGCTCGGGTTTTTATTTTAGTATGGATTTGGATGATGAGTCAATGATTTTTGGGTTGATAATCAGTTATGACAATCATATAAGGAGTTTGGCGATGTTACATTTAATACCACTTATCTGACTAATAACTACGACATGCGTTTTGCCTCATTTTTAGTGTGAATCATCACATACAATCAACATTACCCGATTGTGGTTTGCTATTGAACGAAGATAAATGTACTTTTGTTTGGTTGTTCAAGATATGACTTCAAGTGTATGTAGAGTTAAGCTCCACAAAGGATAATTATAGATCAATATAGGGCCATACGAATGCAATTCAAACAGTTTTTCTAAATATGAAGTATTGATGGTGTTTGTGGCATATTTTAAAGAAATTGCTAGAGAAATTTGGCTACCACGTGGACAAGGGTTCAATATTTGGGGCTATACATGAATTGATGTATAAATTACAGTTCGTTGAAGAATTTGAAGACGGTTGGAGAATAATGATTGATACGTATGGCATAAATGATAGTGATTGGTTGTCGAGATTGTATGAGAACAGAGCTCGTTGGGCTCCTTGCTTTTTCAAAACTATTTTTTGGGTTGGGGTGTACAAAAAAATTTGAGAGTATGAACGTATTTTTTGATGGGTATGAGCATTCCAAAACAACTTTGAAGTAGTTTGTTGGACAGTATGAAAGTGCAATGAGGAATAAGGTTGAAAATGAGTTCTAGGTTAATTTCAAATCGTTCTCATAAATGATACCTTTTGCAAAATAGTTTGAAATGGAACAACAGTTTCAATCAATTTACACCACTTTAAAATTCAATGAGGCTCAGGCGAAGTTTACAGGAAAGGTTTATTTGTAGCTATAACTTGTTTGAGTTCTGAGGAATAATACACTAGGGTCCCAGTAAACTATGATGGTTTAGTTACCACTTCATGGTTGAGATACAACATTATGTGTCAAGCTTTTGCAGAGGTGGCATTGTTGTAGATGATAAAATGGTGCTCACATGCGATAATGGATTGGATAAAAAATGAAGACAATCTACTTATGAGCGCAAAATCGAATCATAGAAATAATGTCCATTCATATCAGACTTCTTAGGCACTTAATAATTGTACCTATTCACAAAATACACCAAGCAGGAGCGCATTGGATCCAAAGTCGGTACGCAAAAAGAGAGTACTAAATAAACTTTGGAGGAAAAGTCCTTTGGAGTCAACTTCGAAGAAATGAAAGGCATTTTAAAGATTGCATATACTCCTTATCGGATTTGAAGTACATTTAATCTGATTGATTTTTATGCATATACAAATCAATTCAATGTCAATAGAAGGAAGGCATCGAAATTGAGGCAAGGTAATGTACCAGATGGCATAATCAACATTCAGTCGACTCAACAACAACAATATTCCACATAGTCACCATTCTCTCTTTCACAATATACCATAAATACACCATTATCCAAAGGGTAGTAGTTTCTGTTATATAGCTCATTAATATTTCCTCATCCTAACTTTTTATGGTTTCTCATGGCAATGATGTAAGGTGACATGGAGTTTTTGGCAGGTCAATAGTCCGTTACTTATATGGCTCAATAGTAAGTAACCTGATTTTTGCAATCACCATAAGATTTTGGAGAAGAGACAAATATTGCTTGGGATGAAATTAGTTTCATACGACAATAGTTACACACTATGGGTCTATTTTAATTTCTTTTATTAAGAATTCTATGAGTAAATAAAAAGAAAAATTTTGGCTTAGGAACATACATAAATGTTGTATCAAAGCATAAATTCAGATCAACATGTAATCAGGATTATTAAATTGGCCAAATTGATGTAGCAGGTAGTTGATCAATATATATACAAAATGTTGAAAGTTCCATGTAAAATGTATCATTAACATCCATTGAAAAGTAAGGGTTCGAAACACAAAATGATGAAAGTTCCATGTACAACAAAAGGGTGAAAGTTCTATATACAAACATGGTTTTGAGTTAAAGCAATCATACATATACAAAAGTTTGCCAAATAACTAAGGTACTTTCAACAGAAGTTTCGATTAATATATACTAATCAAGTTGGTCACTTCCCTTTTGCATTTACTACTGTGGTTACTTTTTCCATTCGAATCGCCACGTCCACCGAAATCTTGAGCTCTTCTTGGTCACTTAGCCGAACTCGACTGGCCTGTGCGTTTCCTAAGGTAGTTGTTGAAAAAGTGGGTCTTAGCTCTATAACCATGACAGATTTTGGAGTTCCTTCCGACCATTCTACACTACAAACAAAAAGATATTGAAGCATAACTAACACTATTGAATAGCCTTTATATTGAACAAAACGAGAGTGACACATAACTAACATGTATTGAGCAAAAAAAGAGTAAAGCAACCAAGGCACAACTAACACACAGTAGGGCCATGTTTCTTGAACAACCCCTAGTTGTCCGGGGGTTATGTGGTATCTCATAAATTGCTTTTAGAGAACACATATTCAACAACCTTCATAGCACGTACTCTACGAAAAGAATTTGTGAAACAACATTAAAATCATTTAAAATGTTCCATTACATCATTAAAACCTACACCAAGCAAACATGATTTAATTAACATGCATGCTGCTGAAAAAAAATGCTATGCACGCTGTTGGTAGAAATATACAATCTTCATATTGTGAAATAGAAAAATTACACCACCATTGGTGACCTCCCATTTAACTGAGCACAACAAACAAATGATACAAGATGTAAAGAGGAGCTCAGCGTTGATTATACTGAACGCCATAAGTGAAAGACACTCCGATACTCGAGAAATAAGGTCCTTTTACAGACGAGCATCGTGCTCCGCTGGGTAGCATAGTCGAGAAAAATATTTGGTAAATACTTGCGAGTTTCGATGGCTGTCGTAGATGGTAAGTTGTATGGCGATGTTCAATTGAAGAGCAAAGGGTTTCGGTTTTAGGGGTTTTCAATTTAGGGGAAATATGAAAACTAAATTGGGTTGTTTTCAAAATCTCTTTTTTGCCTTTTCCCTTTTTTTTTTTTACACTTAGCACGTTAGCCTAGTCATACCCTGTTATTGACTCCCTAGTCGAGTAGTAGGAATGATCTCGCTACTATAGCCACAATGATATAAATTGTATATGAAATTTTTTTCTGCCATGGAAACAAGCTCTGGACAAAGGAGCCATTTGGCATGGCGTGGCAAGGTAGGGTGAGACACTCATTTGCCCAGTTTATTATTTGGTAATTATATTACCACTGTAAAATTTATTTACTACACTATAGTATATTCAAAACACAATTGAAATATATTTTTAACAAATAC